CTATGACTCATTACCATTCTGCTTTTCATTCAAATTTCACATGACCTCTTACACTGCTAAGACAGAAATATGCATGTTAGAGGACTACATGTTGAAACACAAAGGGTTGTAACCTCTTTCCATAAAATTCCACATCTACAAAGCACAAGTTACTACAATTTCATTCCGTTCAAAGCTGGAGGGGACAAGAAACCAGACAGAGCTCTTGTGAGTCCCAGGGTCCAATAAGCACTTTGAAACATTCACTAAGTAAAGACTTTTAAATGTCTCCAAAAAATGCAGGTGTGCAAATTACTCCTGATACAGACAGGAGTTATGTTTCCAGCATCCCCTCAAACACTGTTAAACAACACCCCCACAAGCATTTTTCAGATCATAAAAGCTTTATGAGCTGAAAAGTTCCTTCAGGTTTGGGGTTTTTTTCAGCTGCTACTCCATTACCTTCCAGCAACAGCACCAGCCCTCACCACTACAATACATAGGAGCTAAGAGAACATAAAAGGGCACGAGATGGCAAGTTTTGTATTTTTGCAGTGAAAGACAAAACTCCTCTGCCCTATCTTACGCAATGGAAAGCTGCTGATGTGATAACACATCGCAGTGCAGGGCTATTTTCTTTTCTCACTTTCACAACACGATCACAATGCCAAGGGAAAAGACTGTAGTTCCACTCAAGTGAATGAAGTCCCAAGCTCTTTCCATTATGAAACATGTGCATGGTCCTTTCTGTGGCATAAAAAGGGATGTTACCCCATGCACAAATGTATTTTCCTCATTAATTGGAACACCTGCCCTGGATCTGCCCATGTGACATAGGCTGTCAGAAAAACCATGCCTTATATCCTTCATTAATTTGTGCACCTGCCTCACACTTGCTCACATGGAAGTATATGGATTGGTTGTACAATACATATTATCAATGAGAACTACTGTATTCTTATACAAATAAGCAGCTTAATCCATTCAGGGGTGTGTTCCTTCCTAGCAGCACTAGAGCACATTTTCCAGAATTCAAGCTAATGAGCTTTATCTCCCATCAGGTCCCCAAATTACTTCTATTTCCATGGGTACATTTTTTTTAATCTAAAAGCAACTGAAACTTCCTTTACCCGAGTTTTAATTGATTGCAAGCATGCCTTTTAAATGCTAGGAGTATAACTATTTACCTCTTAGATGGTATAAGAAAAGAAGTCCTCTAGGAGAAACTTTTTCTGGTCTAATAAATTTAAGAGATTTTGTAATAAAAAATGGAAAATATTTAATATCAGCTTTCAGTTCTACATTGTACTACTTCATATTAAGGGAGATTGTGTGTACAAGACAGTTTAAGATCCTTGCCACTATATTTAATTGAATTTAACCCAGTCAACATTCAACATCTTTCAAGTGCAGCTTGAGTCTACAATAATAATGAAGAGTAATATCGCCCACATTCCATACATCCATAACACATTCCATATACCAACAGCACATTCCAGCCAAAGACTTCAAAGCGCTTCAGCAAAGTTGGTGCCAGTTTAGCGAGGGTTCGAGACTGAGAAGAAAGGTGCAGGAAATCCTTCCTGCTTCTTCCTCTACCAGTGCATGGCCACAGGTGAACTCAGCAGACCCAGAGCAGCAATGGGCTGCTCTCAACATGCTTCACTGAGAGGTAAGACACCCACCCATCAGAAAGGGATCCTGTGCTGCAAGGGATACGTTCTGTCCTTCGTGCTGGGAACTGCTAAAAATGTCTGCATCTCTCAAAACTCCATTTATTTGTCATAACCTTTCTCTTCCACATGGAGTATAAAATATCGCTCGTAACTAACAAAGCCTAATAGCACCTCCATGGAGCACTTAAATATTATTATGCCTATGCTTCAGATGGTAAATGGAGCTGCAGAGAGTAATATTCAGCTGTGTTAGTATAATAGCAGGTTTTTACTGTAATTAAGTGATACAGCTGATAGGAAACAAAACATGGTACCGTATTTCCACTGAGCCCTGCTTCACTATTAAACTGTTGCTTCTGGCAAAAGCTGAATAACAAGGAGGTGAAGAAAGATGAAAAAAAAAAATTAATCTTGTAATATTTCCAACACTTTTGCATACACAAAAAGGAAAATACTATATTCATTTATGCACAATATAATTTATAGAGCAAACCTCTCATTATTATTCCTATTTCAAAGAGCTATTGTTCGAGGGGCTTTGGTAAGCAAGCTGTCATTTCGTAGGAGGCACTTTTGGACTCTTGACTTGAAAATTATGAAGGCCTTTACTTATAACCCTCACTGACTATTTTATTTGAGAATGCTAAGCTATATTACGTTGAAAACATGGCAAAGCAAAGGAGGAAAAACCTTTGTTTTATCACAGAAGTGTAATGATGAAAACTCTATTTCTTGTTCCCATTTAGCAGAGAATAAAAAGCCAAAGCTAGAGTTTATGTAGTTCCTGTATGACTACGGATCAATTTTCAAACAAAGAGTAATAGAATAAGCAGTTGAACTATGTCCTAGTGAAAGGCATATGTTAGTAAAATCTGCCAAATTCATTCCTCTTCAGCACCTCCTATGTACGTTTTCTTCAGCACAAAGAAAAGTTTATGGACTGAGGAACAATGAAGAGAAACTCAGCTTGACAGGATTTTTCAGATGCAGTCTTTCTTTTCTGGAGAAAGAAACGAAAACACTAACCCGAATCCTCAGACAGAATATATCTTTGGCAGCTCTAACTTAACTTCTGGTGAGTAGGTAGAGGGTACCTTTTCCCTGTGGAAAACTAAATGGAGGAATTTCCACTGTCAGATTCCAAATACAAAAAAATAAAGAAAACTCCTTTTTGACCTTGCACTAGATACATGATAAAACCCTTTCTTTTTAAAGAGAATACAGATACTGCCATATAAAGAAGTTCATAATATTTCAAGAAAAAGATTTTTCTCTGTGCTGAAAAACTATATCAATCCTAAAGGCAGAATTTTAAGGATGTATAGCTCTAACTCTGCTTATAAACACCCCCACACATATGCACATATATACCTGGAAAATGCATGTGCAATTTTAGAAAGTTTGTGAAGGTGCAGAAGGCAAATCCTAAAGAAAGTCTATCCTAAGGACCTGATCACCCAAGTGAAAGCAAGAGTAGCTATGAAGAGCAACTATCCATTGATCCACTGTGCTTTAGATAATCCAGCTTGAACTAATTCCTAATTTAATGAATCACAGTACCCACACCATTATGAAAAAAAAAGTATAAAATAAGGCTTTCCTTGATGTATATTCAGAGAAATCCTGAATTGTATACCTTGTGCACTATTTGAAGCAAATATTGTTTCCACACCCTCCCAAACTATCCTACGCCTTTCCATCCACTTAGAACATACAGCTGCCCAGCACAACCCACTCTCCCATGTGCAATAAACTGTAGCATAACTCAACAATATAACAGGGAAAACTACCCCACAACTACACAGTCCAACTATTAATTATTAAGCAGAATAAACCAAATTTCCACAGGTACAAAAGTATTTAATATGTGGTTTAACTCTGTTCTTCAGAAATTACCCTTCTGTTCTGACTTACCGGACTTATCTCATTTAATTGAGACTTCCAAGACACTGGCAACATCTAAAGCTTCAGACGAAATAATGATAATATACCACAGAAGCAAAAGTACCGTTTAAATGTAAAAATAACAGAACTATTATTTCCTGAAATAGAAGGTTAAGCTACTGATATGACTGGTGCAGTTATACATCCTGTAAATATAAAGTACAACAATAAGCATAAAGTGAATAAAGATACAAAATCCACTGTATGAAAAGTCCATTAATGATATGACAAATCTCAAGGAAACTACTTCTGCCTTTTGATTTTTGAATGAAATTCTACCAAGTACAAACCTGACAAAACCAACCAAAAGACTTCCATAAATTATGAATTCTGTTGGATAAGTTCTTCAAAGATATGGATGTTATGACTGAGAACCAATGAGAAAACAATTTCTTATATAACCATTCAAAAGCATTGCATAGAGTTAAGGTATATAAGACATAATATGAATTTCTACTGTGTTCCTTCAAAAAAATAAAATAATTTTAAAGTAACTATAAAATATTTAAATAGAATGCAACATTGAACCTAATAAATATTTTGAGCTTTATCCTTTTTGTCAGTTCTTTTACATTTAATTTTAAAAAATAAGGTTTTACGAAGGCATCTTAAACAATAGTCAGTTGACAGGCTTCTTTAATGTAAAATTGCATAGCCTTCAGCTATTGCATTATGGAGACATATTCATCATAAAACTTAACTGTTCCTTGCTACTTCAGGAGTTTCTGTTCTGGATACCCATGGAATTGAAGCTACATATACATGTACAGTGCCATCAGCTAAAAAAATCTAACGAAACTAAAAATTATGTCAATTTGCCTTACAGATTCTATAAAACGGATTAAAAAAATATCATGATATGCTATGAAAAGATGCAAAATCCCTTCCCCCAAATCACAGGATGTCCACTTGTGGATGCAGTAGAGTGCCTTAACCTTTTTTAGCTGACTACACTGTACATGGCATTGTTAATTGCTACAGACTAATGGAATGTTAAAATAATCTAGTGCTTTGTTTAGGACTAGTAATGCATGGAATGGAAGCTGTGAAATTAAAATGTTTGTTTCACAGATAGCTGAAGTTAAATCAGTGACTTGGCAACATTAAATAAGAAAACGAGGCTACAGTCATCATGACTTTGAAGAGGAAATACAATAGGTTTTCATTCTTACACAGAAATTAATCTTACCCCAAACCATGTATACAACACACTTCTGAGGGTTTTTTAATGGCTAGAAAAATAGACCTATCAATATTTAGTACGTTGCTATCTAGATAAAACTTGTATTTTGCATCCTTCAGTGATCCAAGAAACATCTCCAGCATATTCTAAAGTACACCAGTTTGTTATGATAAACTGTCCATTCTGATGGACTGCAGGTCTAAAAGGCAAAATCTTACCTGTTTCATTGCCTGTGATTTGAATAACATACAATCTTATGTCATTTCCACTATCAGGGTGTGAAGTAGAAGGAGACACCTCTTGAGGTTGTAAAGCCTCTGTGGCCTCCTTCACTTTGGGTGGTGCAGTAGGTCGTGCAACTGCAGTAGCAGTTGATGTTGTGAAATATTCCTTATCGATTTCTGGCTCTAACATCTTTCCTGTCAGATCATCATCTGCAGTGGCTTTACTGGGAGAAATAGATTCATCAATTATGATGATGTCATTGCTTGTTACCTCCTCTTCTTCCTCAGGAATGATACGTGGTGACTTTTGAGTAACAAAAGGTTTGGATGCTGATGTAGGCTGAATTTTGTCTACGGAACTAACGGAAGGTGTTGTTACATCACTGAGAATTGTTGCCTTATCTGTTGCATTAGCTGAAAATATAGCTGGTTTCATTTCTTCAGGTTCTTCTGATATTCCTGAACCTTCCAGAGTTTGGCTTGGAGAAGCTCCCAAAGTCAGATGAGTATGGCTTTCCACAGCAGAATGATCTGTCGGCATCGTATCGGGGGGCAACATAGATTCCCAGCTCACAACATCACTGTCTTCTTCCTTTGTGGGGGTTCCTCTGCTTTCGTATGTTTTTGCTTCAGTATCCACTGTTACAGGCATCACTTCAGTGACCTTCTCTTCTTGATCAGTAGCAGTTTCAGCTTTCGGAGTCACAATGAGATGCAAGGTCCTGGTGCTAGTTTCATCAGGTCCCAGAACTCTTCCATAATCTGTGAACTTCACTGCAGGCACTGATACTTCTGTTGCTGGATATGTCTCATCATAAGCTGACCCTGTCTCATCCTGCTTTTCCTGAATAGCTGTTTGAGATAATTCAGATGCTGGTGCTGTCTTTTCTTCATGTATTTGGACAGATGTCATAGATAAGGTAGACTCTGTGGCAGTAACTGGTTCCTTATCTTGATCATCCGTGGAAAGTTCCTCTGGGAACACCTCACTATCTCTTGCAGTTGTTTCTGTTGCTTCTGTATGAAAGATACCATCCAAAGGAGTCTGATCAGTAGCTGGTATATCTCTAGTGACCTCACTCTCTACAGTAACTGGAACTACAGAAGCATCACGTTCTTTCTGTGGAACTGTAGTATCTACCTTTGTTATATCTGTAAATATAATAGATTCCTTTGTCCCTCCAAAGCCAGTTGATGGTGCTCCTTTTCTGTCTTGAAGTGTTGCCACTGATTCCTCCTCAGCTGATGTCAGAATGCCCGTCTGGCCTTCCTCTGTCACTCTGTATTTTGAGACCTCCATTTCAGTAGAGACATCTTCACCAGGCGTTGCTACCGATGTCTCAGTAGCCTCTTTTTGTTCAACTTCTGGGATAGGAATGGACATTTTCAAACCATACCCTGATGTTTCATCTCCTTCATGTTCAGTTACCTCCATGACTGTGGGCATAGCAGTTGGTAATACAGTGACACCTGAGAAGCTAAAAGGCTTCATTGTTGCGCTACTTTCATCCACTGATATTTTGGGTAGTGTGATGATTTCCAAATCCAAAGAGCTGCTTGTGTGGGAGAAATCTGTAGTATCTTTACTTTGATCAAAATCAGCTGATACAGCTTCTTCATCACTTTTTGTTTCCTCTGGCTCCATGCTTGTCCCAGTTTCATCTGTAATTGCTGAAATCAGAGCTCCTGGATACCTTGTATATTCTGTAATTTGCCCTGGAGATGATGTAGGCTCCATTCCAGAGATACCATCTTCTGTATCTAGCTCATGTATTCTCTTAGTATGAGACGACTCTTCCGTCATATACCCCTGATCTTTATCTGTCAGCAGCCACATGCCAGAAGCTGGAGAAGCCTGTGTGAACTTCTCACTTGCAGAACACCCCTCAGATTCTGCTGTAATACAGGTAGGAATGGCGGTTGTCGGGAGCTTAACATCCATTGTTCTCGTTCCTGGCTCCTCTGTTTTTCCTTGCTCCTCTAAAATGTCTGATCCTTTTGTTTGCTGAGATGACTGGATAACATACGTGGTGCTTTCTCCAAGGTTTTGCGGGGAAGCAGTACTTCCTGAGAGAGCAATGGCCTCAGATCCGGTTTGATTAACAGCTGATACAGAAAAGGATACAGGTATTCCAGATGACACAGTAGGCTGCACATCGCTCAGGTCCTCTCTGCTTCCTTCAGCTGACGCCTCACTATCAAACATCGTCGCAGAACTAAATTTAACAAATGGAGTTGACTCATCTGCTGTAGAAAATTGTCCAGTGGTTACTGCATGCTCATCTATGAGTGTCTCTGATGCAGCAGGCACATCTGATTCCAGGATTCTACCAGCAGCCATGCCAGAAACTGTATCAGGCATAACGGTGTACATGCTCTGTCCGCCCTCCCCCTCTGTAGTAAGATCATACTGATCAGTGAACAAAGCTGTAGGGACAACAACTGTTGTAAGTTTCTCATCAGATTTTGCCTCCATTGACTTTTTTGTGGGTTCTTTTGTTGAGTGGGCACCAAGATACGTATTCTCTTTTGTTAGTGAAACTGAAGTCCCTGTTCTGGGAAACTCTCTCCGAGATGTTGGTAACAAGCTATCTGTAGCTGTCATCATAGGACCCACTTCTATTTGTTCAGTCTGATTATCAGCATCATGTTTTTGTATATCTCCTGTTTCAGTATCTTCCCATGAACCAGGGGAACTCTTAGCTACAGCAGTGCTATCCTGAAAAACTACAGAGGTCAAGAAAGCGTCCTCAATGCTTTCAGACCTACCTTGTTCCTCGGGCAATTCTGCTTCAGAGTAAGTGTGCTCCAGCTCCAAAGCTGCAGATGTACTCTCTGTTAACCTAGGTGAAACATCGTATTCAGTCCTTCCCAGTGTATCGTAAGTGCTCATTTCTCCATCTGTGACAGTCTGAGGTAGAAGGGTGGTTAACTTAATGCTCTCCATAAGCACCTCCATTTCCCTTTTTTCCTCAGCCACATCAGTAGTCATTTCTGTATCTTCCTCAGTCTCTAAGGTTGTTTCCTCCAAAGCAGGGACCTCTGTTTTGGTGACAGCCACTTCAGTAATCGGAGTCTCAAAAACAGGAGGTTTAAGAGTAACTTTAGCAGATGACATTTTCACACTGTCAGTTTTCAGAGATGTAATCAGCTTAACAGTTGTAGGCTCTGTTATGATTTTTTTACCTTAAAAAAGAAAGAAAAAAAGTTAAGGAATCATTCCATCAGAACACAAACAAATGTTACTTTAATTCAGTTTGAATGTTCCCAACAAAAACTAAATGCTACACTGAGAAATAAGTATAACGCTCAAAGGCTTTAGATAGTTGTTTAGCATGCAACAGAGCTTTGAATGACATAAAATAACACACTATAAGGCTGCAGAACATCTGACTTAAAGTCAGATGAAATAAGAAGAACAGCAGTATTCTTCATATTCATTATTTATATAATTACGCCTAGAAGTCCTCGTATTATATGAGTACCCATCAGACAGCTAAGTACTGATCAGGCAATATAAAAGTTTATTTCATGATGTCATGAAGGAATGGTACTAAAAAACTGTGGGTTTTCTTCAAAGTTTACTGTAGCATACAACTCAAATGTATAAAGGGAGTAAAATACCACTTTAGTTTATTTTCAGCACATAATTACAAATTGCAAAAAGGAACCCTCACTGGAGTGAAAGCATGCTTAAGCAACAGGAACAAACATGCCATCAGGAAGTACTGTTTTACAATGCCGCAAGAGCCGCTGCCCTGCATTTAAATTATACTGAGAGAAATTTATTATGGGGAAAGGTGAGAACAGTAAACCATAAGATCATAAACTTAATACTATAATGATGTTGATCTTTGGAAAACACTTCAAAGATACACATTTGAAGCTCCTTCACAGACAAAAGTGCTTCTATGGGTGTGTTGAACATGAAAAGGCAGAGTATTGAACCCTCTGAATGATGGGAGGAGTAAGGGGTTAGCTATCCTAGATTCACAAGACACACAAAGAAAAGTCTTCCCAGTGAACCAAATTGTGATGTTTTAAAGAATCTTGCTGCCTTATGCCTTGTCCACTCCTGCCCCAGATTTCCATCCTATCTGAGAAGGAAATGTGTGCAGACAACCACGACACTGCAAAGTCAATATCAGATTTTAAACTCCTGAAAAAGGTGAGTTTCTGCTCAGAAAACAGGATGGGAAAAGCCCAGGGTGGAAACATCTTTCCTTCTGCCAATTCTTCCAGGTTGGTAATCTTCAGAAGGGCAATGGGAGCAGACAGGTGAAAGGTGTGAATGGCTTAAATCAGTGCTGTTAATTGCTAAGTATCTGAGAGTCAAAAGCCTTATATGGATGCAACTAAAAAGAAAAATATGATCTTTTAAATCACACTAAGCAGATGAAGAATGCATTAAACAGGCTGTATATAGGAGGACTAACTGCTTACCAGACAGACACAACTACATGTATAGCTTCTTGCAAAAGAAAATATTGCTCAATTTCTGAAAGAGCAAAGAACTCTATTCCCCTAACATGCAGAAATTGAAACAGTTACAGTATTTTACAAGAAAATATTGAATCCAAAGGCTCATTATTACAGCTGTGAGTTAATAAAAGAGATCAGGAAGCTTTACTCAATGTAAGGTACAAATACCAGTTATCAGGGGGAAAAGTGAGTTCTGAGATTGGATTTTTACTGCCTGGCATATGGGGATGAAGATGTTCTAGATGATGATGCAGCCTCTGACTGACTCAGGACTTGCAGGCAGTAATAGTATGAGAAAAGGAGAGGAAGAAAATAAGTGAAAAATTTAGAAAGACTCAACTTAGTCACATATTTGTGCAATGACAATTTATACTCAAGCATATGCAGTATGTATGCACAAATCAGTTCTTTTCACACACCCATGTCTAATTAGGTACCGCTTTGGTATTTGTAGATATGAATTCCGCATGTGTAAGTTAGGGTCACACAAATATTTGTTCAGTTTCACACACCAAGCTTTGAAAATGTCACCTTTGCAAGAGACCTATTTGGTTTACCCTGAAGTAGACAGGCTTGCCAGATGATGGCCGCTTAGGATTTCTAGAAGTATGGGTAGATTTACAGAGTAGGGAATTGAGGAAAAAGAGCTGATATTTCAGCTTTCTTGAATGAGAAGTGAAAGTGAAAGGGAAATTGTGAGGGTAGGAAAATATAACATCGCTATGATTAGAAGTGGTAATGTTCTTTCCCAGCAGAAAAAGGAATGGATTCTTTTCCCTACTGTATGTTAAATCATTTTGTGGTTTTACAAAGAAGACTTAGCTACTTACATACCTCTTTTTTTGTAGGGTAAAACATTTAGTTGAGCAAGAAAGAGTAAAGTTCTTGAAATCCCGATATGCAAAGCACAGCATTAACACAAGTGAATTTTGTGTTTTGGGGTTCTACAACCTGAAGTGGATGTTTATTGCTCTTTTCAATGCCTATGGGATTTAAGTATGGGATCATGTTCATACAATCAAGAATCAACAAATTTTTACAATTCTTTCCCCTTCTGCTTGCATGGGGATGGTTTAAACCAGAGTTTTACTTCACAGCTAGGGAGTGAAGAATGCACACAAGTTAGCACTGTCCTCCTGAGTGGTACTTGGTAATTGTTGAATTTCTAGCAAAGAATCCACCAATGTGCCCGTTAAGCTCTTTTTTATGGCAAAATGGAAAGGAGACAGCATAGTCTTATATTGTCCCTTCTAACCATAGGATGAGTTTCCTTAATGCAGATTGCATGTATTTTATAGCCAACACCAAGTTGACCCCAATTACAATCTCTTAAGTGACTATCAAGATCACTGTTTGAAACACTATGAAAACATAATACCCTCTAACAAAGCTAAACAAAAGTGAGGGCATGAGAATAGATTTTAAAATCTGTGGGGAAAAGGGGTAACATTTTAACATTTCATCACTGCTGGGAAATTGTGTACACTTACAACCATTTATGTAGCTTCCCAATTTCCAAGAAACATTTGGAAGTCCCAAAAGTTCACATATTTATGCCTCAGATACAGTTATTTGTTGTTCATGATTCATTATCTGCTAATTACTTGTTAAAATAGGTACATATTTATGAAGTAAAACTGAAAAAACACCAAGCATATTTGATTTGCTTATATTAATAAGTGAATCAATAAATATTAAATTTATGTACTGGTGTAAGAAAAGCACGTATTTTTTTAAGAGTTTGTCAATAAACACACCAAATTTTCTCCTGTGAAAACTGGCACAGGGTTACCAGTGTGCAAAGAGCAGTTCTGGTTAAAATCAACTACAGGGCCTCTAAAACTTCTTTGTCATAAATATGATATATAAGTTTTCATACACATCATTCAGGTTCGCAAACTTATTTGAGTGGATCAAAAAAAGGTGCTTTTTCATGGAGAAATCTATAATTTTTTTTTCCTTAGGAAAAATAAAAAAACAAAGAGAAGGTTGCTCTTTTAATAGACTTAATATCAGTTTGAACTGTCGTCCACTCCACCCAGATGTTTTGCATTACTGTACTCCTTGCATCATGCATGCAATATGTTATCTCTTTTGTCCTTCTTCTGATTCAAGACATGAGGAAGATTTTCCTAATAAAATTCATGAACATATTAACAGCAAGAAAGCAAATTATCTCACCAACAGCTGCTCATATCAAAGATTATCTTGTCATTTTTGAATCGATTCCTTTTATATTGAACAACCTGCATGAAGTTGATTTTGGATAGAATATATGATTTTGCAGAGATACTATATTTTTCACTCTCTATTTATTTATTTTGTGCTTTCACTGTACAGCATTTTCTTCCTCTTCTCTCCCACCATTGTTTAAATAAGGATTTAAAATAATGGAGCAATATTAAAACTTAATATTTTTTAAGGAAATCACACTACACGACTTTAGACATGGTTTAACTTTGCAATTACCAACTAAGTATTTTAATATGTTCTGTGCTGTTTAATAATAACTTCAGGTTATCTGGGTGTACTTTCTGAAGGAGAAAATTCTATATGGGATGTGGAGTTCTGTTCATTACTTATGAGGTGTGTGATAGCACAAGGAGGATTTGAAATCTGATACAGCAGCCATAAGAGTTTCTCTATAACTCCAGGTGTATACTCCCACTTACCTACACCATGTAGTGACATCAAAACACAAGTCAAATGTAATGAGAAAAATAATTTTAAAAAATCTAAATGCAGTGTCTATTCCCACTTACAAAATATGTGCAATATCAGAGAAAAATAATAGGATTCTTTTAAAAAAAATAATTTAAAAGCTATTAGTCCATCTTATTTGTAAGGAAAAACTTAAAGACATAACAAAAGGCCATGCATCCTCTTCACACCATTGCCCAAGGTTCTTTTCTTCCAGCTAACAAAACAGCAGAGGCAGCAGCTCTATTAGCTCTGTGAGCAAAAACACTCTTAAGTAAAACCACTTGCTATTTCATAACTTCTGAAGTCAGACAGTTAAAGGGGGAAGGATATGTTATCTCCTGGCTTCCCCACATGTAAGTGTAGTTCTGTGAACAAATTATAACCTGCCAATCTATCCACAAAAGAACAATAGCAAAAAGCATTTTTCTTTCCACATTATTTATAAAAAAACTGCCAAAGAGGACAAAAAATCAGAGATTCTCTTTAGTCATCTGTAATCCCAGCACCAAATAAAAGCAACAATCTTTGCTTCCTGACCACAAAAACCAACTGACGAACAGAGAGCGCCAAGATTGTCACTCAGGTCAGGAAGGAACAGCAAAATTCTTGCTGCTTTGCTCTCCCCACCTAGTGTGAAAGGAGACAAATTACACATACGTCCCATGAGTGGTAACCAGTTCCCACAGCAGTGAGCAAAGGTATAAAAGAGCAAAACCAATTTATCTTTCCTGTACTTGAACACCTAAAGGGATGGATCTTTTACTTCTTCACCTTGTTGATCCTAATCCCATCCTTGTTACCTGACCCGTTCAGTGACCTGAGGGAACAAAAGAAAAATGCCTTTAACTGTGTCGTCTTTTCTTTCCTCTTACACAATGTCTGCACTTATGAACTATTCTTAAAGGACCAGTTTTGAATCACTCGGATAAATGCAAGTTCACTTTCTGTGACCAAAGCAGTGTCTCCTCCTGAAGGTCAACCTCCTGAGGCTGCAAACAGTT